CGTCCCGGGGCTCGAAAACGGCACCGGGGGCATTGGCTTTGCACCCCGCCGTGCCTTCAGCCACTCTGGAGGGAAAGCCAAATCAGCGCCGGGGGCTCCGTTTTTGAAAGAGAGATGTTCGGTTACGGAATATCCAGCCCAAAGAATATTTTTTTCTTTTCTTTTTTTTTTTTTTGAAAAAGACAACAAAAAAAGTTGACACAATCAATTTGCGATGCTGAATGGTGATATAAGGGGGAATGTAATTTCAGCGTTTTGTGTCGGAGGCTGCTGCTTCAGCAATACCCAGATTATCGATTACGGGAAAGGATTCCTGAAGCAGAATTCACACTGCTAACAAACTGTATAGATTACATATACACACACACACACACACACACACACTTACACACACGAATGGTTTAAACATCCTCCCGCCCTGCATCAAAATTACTCGAACAAACCCACCAGCGACCGTTTATGCCTGCTGTGGGGCTGTCGAAGCGTGCGCTTAAGTTTTCCTAATTTTGTGGGACTGGTCACCCGGCAGCGATTTTCCCGTCCCTCTGGGTAAACACAACACCCGCCGGGCTGCAACCACGGTTTCATACTTCCCTATTTTCCTTTCCCCGGTGTGGCCACTAACCCGTTTCTTTAGGAATAACCCTCCCTTCCCGCACCCGCTTCCTCCCCCGCGGGAACCCAGCGTGCCTGTGTCGTTTTGGGGGGGGTCTCCTACTGAATTTCGTTTTCTCCTTTCACAGGAGCATCGATTTGACCAAATGTTCGTGGGTTTTTTTACAATTACCATCAATGCTGCAAGTTAGCAACCATTCTCCTGGTGCCCACTGATGGTGCCCAAGTCGCAAAATTACCCGACCGCCCTCGTACTTTCCAAAACTGCGCTCTGACCAAGGGGGTCCCAAAAAAACCCCGGCTCCCCTTCCTCGCCTCTCCACGGAGCAGGCTTTCAGGGACGCAAATCCCATAAATCACAGAGTCCTGACAGTCAGGGCAAGAGAAAAAAAAACACCGAGCACCACGCGATTAAAAGCAAATCGAAGCCGAGACCCAAGAAAACCCGCCCGAACCCCGAGCAAACACGCATGATTTCTGCGGTCTCTAGCGGGGCGCCTGAGCGGCTCGGGGTGTTGCAGGACTTGCTGTTTCCCGAGACGCAGGCTGGGGCTGTCCACGGGGATCATCCCCACTTCTGCAGGGGGAGTAGATCCCCACATCCGCGGGGGCAGATCCCCACACCCGTGGTCATTCCATGCTTCCCTTCCCCGTAAAGGTTGTAATGGCCAGGCAACCCCACGCTGCTTCTTTGGCTCAGACTTATATTTTAATTAATAGCATTAAAGGTGTTTAAATAGCGATTTCCCCCGCAGCCCGACGGGTAAAAAACCAGCCCGGCCGATACAGTAATGAGGCAGGAAATTTTGCGTGTACTACAATAATCTGGGTTCATAATTGATGGTTAAGAAAATAACCATTTGTTTCTCAGCAGAGGAAGTAAAAGTTACCGTGTCAGGGAGCATATGTGGATATTACTTTTATAAATACTTAGTTGCATAAAGCTGGCATGGAAGGGCTCATAAATTTATTATATCAGAAAGGTCCCCACTTTCCCATTAGATCGTGCTAAGGGCTTTGATTAAGACCACCTGTTTGTCGGGAGGAAAAGGCAGGGGAGGGTGGAAAGGCCCCCTCTTATTTGCAAACCATATATAAAGCGATGTCACCCTTCCTTTCCACATTATTTAACACTTGTTACTGGTGGAGGGAAAAAGTGCCAGCCCCTGGTAAAGCCTATTTGTCCACAATTTAATACCGTGTACGTTTCCGGGATTAAAAATTATCGGCTCGTAATACCTTCGCGTTTGGAATTACCCTGGATTTTGTTCGCTAACCTTCCTTCAGCCTAAGCGTTTCTTCTTCTAGGGGTTTTGCTGCCCAGCTAGCAAATCCTGCTTAAAGTCTCCAGGGGAGGGTGGCCTGGGGAAGGGGGACACAGCTCCTCCTGAAACCACTGGATGTTACTTGAGGAGTAGCGAGCTGTTTGGCCAAACAGGGTTAATACGGCATTCTTACGAGGAGGTGTTTAACCACGAGACCAGGAATACGTGCATTATTAATTCACTCTAGTTTCCTGTATTATTAATTCAGGTTAATATATTTTATTTAAACAAAATTACGTTTATCTTGGATTAAACCGTCGCTCGAAATACGGAGCGCTTGTTTTCTTCTTTGTAATATGTTTGCATTGCTGTTTTTCTTTACCGCCCCTCGGGCTCGCCTACCAGACCCCCGGAAAGGGGCAGGGGAAGGGAAGGCGGGAGCCGGCTCTGCCCGCCGCCGGGGTGCCCGCCTCCGGGGGGAGGGGAGGGGGGGGGGGGGGGGGGGAGGCGA